TCTCTGCCTTTTAAGATGCTGTTGAGGTTTGTCATTGCTTTCCTCCCAAGAAGTAGGCGTCTTTTAATTTAATGGCTGCTGTCACCATCATGGAGCCCAAGAAAGTAAAATCTGTCACTGCCTCTATATCTTCCCCTTCTATTTGCCAAGAGGTGATTGGACCAGTGGCCATGATCTTAGTTTTTTTTTTAATGTTGAGCTTCAGACCATTTTTTGCACTCTCATCTTTCACCCTCATTAAGAAGTTCTTTAATTCTTCCTCGCTTCTTGCCATCAGAATGGTATCATCTGCATATTTGAGGTTGTTGATATTTCCTCCAGCAATCTTAATTCCAGCTTGGGATTCATCCAGTCCAGCCTTTCACATGAAAGCCTGCTAGCAGGGCTGACTTATTTCTGATATGTGGCTTTAGAAGCCTTTTAGGGCGAACAGCAGGATAAAAATGGGTTAACCAAACAACAAATATCTTGAGAATAGCATGCTGAAATCACCTCTATGTTTTTTCACATTATCTCTAAAGATATTTGGGAAAGAAATCCAACTTTTCAAATGCAACCATTAAAAACACATACATAAACACACACTGCAGCTGAGACCTGATGATCAATAACTGCATACAACATTCCACTCCTCTGGAACTGTGGAGTTTAACAGTGCTTACCCGTCAGCAGCTGAGGTTCTTGGAAAGCTATTGAGCACACTTTACACGTCCACTGGCTGGATGTTGCTTCAGAGGGGGCGGTACTTTCTAGAGTGCTCACTAGGATCACATCAAATAAAAGAAAGGATTTAGTATTTTGAAAAATATGGAATGGCAAAGATTAAACCACAAATAAGAGGCTGGGTGTCACGGCAGATGAAACAAGGTGGCATATGGAAAAAAGGGTTGCTTTCACCTTTTTCTCAGAAGAAGTATGTATCTTACTATGTGGGCTTATGGTTTCTTAAATGGAGGAGACAATAAGAGGGAGACAATGTCCCTTTATGCACCTACCCGGGCATTAAGATAATCAGGACACGCTTTTCTCTCAGTCCCATTACCCTCACAGATGTGTTTGTTGGGGACACGGGTGAGGGTGTTCCCTGTCACTGCTCCCAGACTCTGGAACTCCCTCCCACAGGAGACCAATCTGGCCCCATCTTTGCTGTCCTTTTGCAATCAGATTAAGATCTTTCTCTTCAGACAGGCTGTCCTTTAAATGACTGGTTGACCAAGGGGATTTTTAAAGGGATTATTTTATTCTATTGTTTTACTTGTGCTTTTAATGTTACTTTTATCTTATCTATGAGTTTTAATATATTTGTTTAATGCTTTTTCATTAGTGTAATAATTTATTATTTAGGTTTCAGCTTGGCTTCTTTTAATTCTGTAAGCCACCTTGGACCCTCTAGGAGAAAAGTGGCATATAAATATTTTAAATAAATAAATAATAAATGACAGTATCGCAAGTAAACTTCAATAACCATCAGAGATGGATTAGCCCTCTCCCCAAAACTCCTTTATGTCATCAGATATTGACAGACGTGGTGGCGCTGTGGGCTAAACTGCAGAAGCCTGTGCTGCAGGGTCAGAAGACCAAGCAGTCGTAAGATCGAATCCACGCGACGGAGTGAGCGCCCGTTGCTTGTCCCAGCTCCCGCCAACCTAGCGGTTCGAAAGCATGCAAATGCTATTATTTAGGTTTCAGCTTGGCTTCTTTTAATTCTGTAAGCCACCTTGGACCCTCTAGGAGAAAAGTGGCATATAAATATTTTAAATAAATAAATAATAAATGACAGTATCGCAAGTAAACTTCAATAACCATCAGAGATGGATTAGCCCCCTCTTCAAAACTCCTTTATGTCACCAGATTTTGACAGACACTTCTGCACAGGCCCAGTTCATAATAAATGCTTCCAGAGCGATCATACCATCTATGCAGGGCATACACAGCACAGATGTAAAGAGGCTCACATACCTGAAGAAGTAGCTTTAGCAAACCGTGAATTCTTGATTTTTCTGACAGAAACTGAGCCAGTAGTTTTCTTACTCTCTTGGTCACTTTCCATCACAACTAAACACACATCTGTTAAAGGAAAGATAATGATCCTGTTTTTTAAAAAATCTTTCCATCTTTAATTTGACCATTAGGTAATATATGAAATAGGGCAAATAAGGATTTATTTGTCAGCAAGGATCTCATTTGCATATAACAGCAACTCCTCCATGAGAAAAATGGAAGAATTCATGAATATGCTGATACTATACTCAGATTCCCCATTCACCCCCATCTAAACATTCAACATACCATTGGCAATGCTAGTAACTTGCTTGAGAACTGGCTTTTCCATTTTTTTGGCGTAGAAAGCTGCATACCAGACTCTTAACTCAGTGCCCGGTGGGATGTCCCGGGAAGTAGTGAAGTAAATGTCATTATCATGCTGGAAGGCAGTCAGGTTCTGGTGCTCATACTGGATGGCTGGTCTCACCATCATCATCCAGTTACAATCATCTTCATTTGAGGTATCAAAATGGACTGGTGGGCCATCCTTCTGAAAAACCTAATAGAGAGCCATACAGATATATAAACTCAATAACAAGGAACACAAGAACATGTCTGTGTTACCAGTCTATGACCTAACTCTTTGGTTCTTGTATTCAGACATTACTTTAGTGACCCAAGGAGAAGCCACAGAAAACTTCTGCATCTCTACAATAATAACAGCTGCATGCTGTCTAGTCAATTTTAATTTATGTCAACGCATCTCAGGATTTACCATTTCAAGCTAAATACACTTTTGGATCCTGGTGGAGCCTGGTTGCTCCATTTTACTAATTCCTTTATTTATTTTGGGTGCCTTCACATTATGACTGACGTATGACTAAGTGTCCCAGTACCTTCAATGGAAACGATGATTCCTTTTGCAGTTTGGCAACCCTCTTAGATTCGAAGGGGCCAAACTGGGTACGCTTGACCAGTTGAGTTATGGCAAAAACGCCTTCAGTTCCATCTTCGAGTTGCTTGATCTCCAGGTTGGAGGGGAGAGATGATCTGAGAAGTAAATATTTTTGAGCAAATGAACAGGAAAAAAAAAAACGAGCCAGCTCTAATATATGTCAGCCCTTGGTGAGAAGAATTCAGCCCTTGTTCCTCAAGGCTAAAACTGTTTAACATCATTAACAAGATTAAGAAACAGACTGTTTCTCTAAAGAAATCATGAACTGACAGAATAGCTAAAATATAAAGAAAACCACATGACACTTCTACAGTATAACATGGTACTAGAAAAAGCACGGACAATTATTTCAAGAGCTATATTAGATGTGTAAGTTCAAAACCTGTTGTAACTGTTGACAAGTCAATCTCTCACTTCCACTTCATACTTGATAATTTTAGGACATAGAATATAGGACGTTGCTTCATACTAGGTCACAGTATTTGTCCATTCAGGCCAGGTTTTGGGGTTCAATTATATGTCAATGACTGCATTCCCTCAGAGATAAGAGGAGAGGGGGATGCCAGCAGTTAAGGGTCAGAATCCAGGACTGGATAGGGGCCAAGGCCAGTGAGAGAATGTACACTGCACACTATACTCGTACCTGCTACTTTGACTTGCAAAGCTTCCTCCTCTAAAATCCTGGCATTTCTATTTTGGTGATGTACTTTGAATTCTCTGCTGCAGCTCAGGGGAGTCTAGTTAAGCTTTCTAATAGGACTCTATGCACCTCACCAAACTATAGCCCCCACTCCCCTCCCGATTCTGTAGGATGGAGCCATGACAGGTCAAGTGATTTCAAACTGCTATGACTGTATGTTGAACAGGGAGAGCGAGAAAAAAGGTGAAGAGAGCACATGAAAATAACGATGATCTAGCCACAAATTTGTGCTGATTGACTGGAATAACTGATACTTCATCTTTGCTGGCCTCTTGAGGCTGAAACACATGACAGTGAGAAACTGCAGCACTATTTTAGACGTTGTTTTGGCAGATACGGTAGATGTGAGCAGCTCTTTGAGGAGCTAGAGGTATTCTAATTTGAAACGTAGCACCAAAAGCAAAACAAAACGTGAGTGAGAGCAAAGGGTTCCCATACACAGCTCTTCCAGTCTGGCTCTGTTTACTTTAAAAACAAACCAACAAACAAGCATGAGTAGCTTACCTTGCTCTACTTAACACAAAGGAGTCTTTGACTGTCACCACTGGGCCCAGTTCTGGGCATTCTGAATCATGATACTGATTACAATCTTCACACCCTGGAAACAAACAGGAGGAAGAACAGTTCTCTTTCTCAGATTCTTCTCATTAAATACCCACAGAGAAAATGCAAGTCCTGTCACACTAATTCAATCCATCATGAAATCTAATACCCCAAGGGCTACATACCCCTTTAGTCTATAATATACTTTAGCTCATCTCAATGATACATAGATATATGGTACTTAAGTTATCAGATTTTTACCACATTAAAAAAAACCTAATAAAAATATGTGTTGAATGAATATTTAAGAAACATAATCTATAAGTAGAGGAAGGATGCCTAGAGAAAGTGAAAGTAAAACTCAGTATAAAACAACGTGGCTGTAAAACACTTACTTCTCTGAATTATTGTAAGATTCTCTAAATTATTGTGTGCAAAACTGAATGCACTTTCTTCTAGATGTCATACTTCGAATCCTCAACTGAATGCAATATTTTGTAATCATCCATAAGGAAAAGTGTAAATTTATCTCAAATCAGTTCTCACCATTCCTTAGATTAGGACAGGCTTTACAGAATAATTATGATAGAGTTTTGTATATATCCATAACTTCACTAGTTGTATTAGTCATAGAAATTCCATTACTGAAGAGATAAACTGTTTATAAAACTGAAACAGTGATACGCAGTATCCCTTTGGCAGTCAGAACAACCACATAAAACACACCAGAACAGCGCTGGTGGAATATTCTATTCTTTGCCATACATCCATGCCTTAGTAACATATGTTTATAAGCACAGATTAAAGTTTCCCGCAAACTTATCATTCCCTTCTTCTGTAATGGTTTGCTTATCCAGGGCAGTGAGCTGGCATACCATGGGTACATCGGCAAAAACATAACCATCTGGGGATGTGGCCATTAAACCTGAGTCAGTGACAGCGTTCCCACAGATTCTAAGGAACAGTTATGTATTTCCACACCTACATTATGGTGCCCAATAACCTTTCTTCTTTAAATCAAACTGTAATTTATGAGTAGTATCTCAGGCACCCCTGCCATGGGCTTTGGCTGATAAAACACAAATATATCAAAGCTGTCAGCACTGCAGAACCATTGTAACTGAACATCATCATTAGTGCCTTTTGGGCATCTACAAAACTGTCAGTCCAGTACTGCTTCAATGCGTGTTGCATAAAGACGTCCCCACCCACTCAAAATATCATAGAATATTGTAGCGGGAAGGGCTCTGTATGGCCATCAAGACCAAACACCTGGTCAATGCAGGAATCCATGTTAAAATATATCTGACAGATCACTGACTGACTTTTTTTGAATGCCTCACATGCTGGAGAGCTCACCATCTTCTGAAGTAATTTGTTCCACTGCCACACTACACTAACAGTTAGGAATTTTTTTCCTGATATTCAGCTAAGATCCGGCTTCCTGTAACTTGAGTCCATTATTATAAGTCCTACAGTCAGGATTAATTGAGAATAGATCCTGCCCCTCCCTCTGTATGACAATCTTTCAAATATTTGCTGTCATATTTCCCTCGGTCCTCTCTTCTCAAGGCTAAATATGCCAAGATCTTTCAGTCTTTCCTTAAAGCTGGGTTTCCATTCTGAATTTGTTCCAGTTTGTCAGGATCCTTTTTAAAGTGCGGTATTCAGAATTGGATGAGGCCTAACAAGTGCTGAACAGAGGGGAACCTGTACTTCATGGAATTTGGAGACTATATTTATTTTATGCAGCCTAAAATAGCATTTGCTTTTTTTACAGCTACATCATACTGCTGGCTCATGCAAAACAAAACAATTTTTTAATGAAAATATTAATATAAAATAAATGATATATCTTGTAAAATGAGACTGCTTGAAGGTACAAATGCCTATAATATCAGTTACTAGATGTTACTCTTCCCTCAGCACCAGATATAATTGGGATGACTGGGAAGAAATCCGACTAGGGACAGGATTCTTCTTCTCCATCATCATCATCATCATCCTCCCAAAGTGACAAGAAATCCAACTAGGGACAGGATTTTTCTTCTCCATCATTATCATCATCATCATCATCATCATCATCATCATCATCATCATCATCATCATCATCATCATCATCGAACTGCAGAGCTGGAAGGGACCCTATGGATCATCAAGTCCAGCCCCTGTCAAGGAAGGACAGTGGGGAACAGAACTCTGAGCCTCTGGTTCTGTAGCCAAAGACCTAAGCCACTGAGCTGTCCAGCAGTTCTATTCAACCCCCAGTTCCCATAATATTTTTAAAAGTATCCTTTCTGATATACTCTCAGTGCAATAAAAGGACTAGACTGGATGCCAACCATATTGCCCTACATAAGATAGGGCCCAGAATACACCTTCCTCTCCCCCATGCCTACTCATGGTGTCTCTCTTGCTTTTGATACTACCAGATGTCAGCACATAGTCCGAAATGATGTATTTGTACACAATCCAGTGGTTGAAATCCTGTTGCTTAGTGCAGTAAGCTGCACTAGCAAGCCTACTGAATCAGGGAGGATTTGTGAGTCAACTCCTTTGTAAGTTCCATCGGTTCAAATGGACCTGCTCTAGTTGTGACTTACGTTGGTAGAGTTAAATCACAACTCAAGTAGGCCCATTTGGATTAATGAAACTTAGAGAGGAATTGACTACTCAAAACCCTACTGATTCTATGGATCTACTCTAGTGCAATTCACTACACTAAGCCACAGGATTTCAGCCACCACAGGTCTACACTGCACAACTAAGATCCAAAATAAAATCTGTGAAATAACTATGTATCCTTGAACTAGGCCGTTGGATTTTATACATATTTACCATTTAAACATATCTGTGCACCTCTGGCTATCTATGTGAAGAAGCCTCTTTCCTTTCCTTCAGTAACTTCCTCTAAGCTCATATTTCCTGTAAATGTCTTCACCTCAAAGTCCTCCTCTCCTCCAAATAAAAGGAAGCTTAGATCTATGAACCTGCATTCACCACTTATCATCACTGCTTCTTTCTCTTCTTCTTCCACCTGTGTTGTGTCCCCCATCATAAAAATGTCTAAATTCTTTTGGTCAGGGACCTGTCTGTTTTGCTTATGATGTGGAACTTTAAGTACAACAATAATTAACAACAACTATAACATAAATGGAAGATACTGCAATCTAAAACAACAAATCTGAAGCCAAATCTTACACACCCAGAGGAAAAGCTAGTCCAAATATCATCCAAGCTGTCATCATACTTGTATGCTGAAAAACAGGATATGCCCCATCAAAGTAGACAGAGTTGCCCCTTTTCACCTAAAAACACGATAAATTAGCTGCAAATGTAATTCTTTGGAATTTTTTTAAATGGTAGGGTTCTCTCTGTACTTATACAACATATGAAATATTCAGTCATACAAAAGTAGAAAGAAGAACAAGTGTAGATATAACAAAGGCCACATCAATTATTTTATGAGTTCTTCTTGAGTACTTACATATGAACACAGTCTCTTCATTGCCACCTTCTGCCATTTCTCAAATCTGTCAAAACAGAAAAGATAATCTATCAGGTGCTTCCTCAAAAAAGGCACCCATCGTAAAATAAAAATGGCCACCCACAGGGACTTGTACACACTTGTAGATATACTATAACATAACAATTTTCCTGCAATCAGGACTCATATATAGGAATTTTGATTTTGATTTCCAAAAGCTATGAATTGCACTTAAGGTCATGCACAGGTCACACACATGCACGCACACCTGCATACGCACATGCAAACACACACTAAAGTCTGGTAACCTGTTCATGTTTTCCCCTCACCATGCACAATGTCTATCAAATGTAACATCAGGAGTGCTATCATATGTAATGGATGAAAATATGCAGTTTCTGGGTTCATAGTGTATGATCAATGGATTTCTGCTAACATCTGAACTCTCTGTCTCATGACACATTTCCTAAATGAACCTCACTTGCATGAAGGAAAAAGGACACACTTTCCTTTGTGTAATATAGGCATAACTATTTCTTTCACTTATACATATGGTGGGAAACCCAAGTATGAGAAAGAGGGCAGGAAAGCAATGCACCTTCCACTCCAGCACTGAGTGCCATCCCTCTACCCTAGAAAGTGGAGGGAATAGAAGCCTCCAGGACAATAGAAGAAGAGAAGGAGGAAAAGAAGAACACCTTGTTGAGGAACAGATGGAGAAGGTTGAGAAAAAGGCGGGAAACTGGAACAGGAAAGGTAGGAGGAAGAAAAAAGGAAGATATAAATAGGGAGGACAGGGAGGGGGGAGGAGTGGACAAAGAGAGAGAGACAGAGTTGTGGGGAGATAAAAACCTGCCCATCATACCTATCATCATCAGGGGACCCATATTAGACACTAAACCCCGAGAAAGGACAATTTCAACACTTGGGAAAGTTGGAAGTTTCAGCTAATTATTCTGTTAACCCCTTCCTCTCCCTGTTGGAAGAGAAGGACCCGCTTCATTGAAGACTGATTATGTTGAATGGTTCAAAAGTACACGTTGATGGTTTAAAGCATGAACAAATGTCTGAAGTATCTGTCAGAGGGAAACAAAAGGGGAGGAGCCAAAAATGAACACCCACACCAAGTCTATCCTATGTGTAAAGTGCTCCTCTCTTGAAAAATAAATATAACACTAGATATATTCTTTCCAGCTGAAAATACAAGTATTAAATTACTGTATATGAAAAAAAATACAAACAGAAATGTCAAAACATACTGATTTGAACCTTAACAATTTCAGAAATAATTTCATGTCAAGTTGTATAGAGAGCAAAAATATTTGCTCTAGCTAGTAAGGAACACACAGGTACTTAAAAACCCTGTTTCCCGGAACAGCACAAACCACAAGGATTGTTGATTTATTTTAATGGGCTTCAGTAAGTTTACTACCAATTATGAGCAATTATTTGCCACAAGCAAAGTGAAGTTAGCACCATTATGCAAAATTATCCTCTGATAGTAAACAAAGAGAAAAACGTTCACATGTTAGCTTATCCAAACTTACCATGACTCCTCATATTTCTGAGCAATTTTGAGATGGCAACATTGGTCTTCCTAAATTGACAGAATCTACAATCTACCTCCTTCCCATACAGTCTATCTCCTTTCCATACTACGTGTTTCCTCTGCATCTCTTTGCACCCTGTCATTTGTATCTCAAGTGATATGCAATCTCCTATTTCTTAATACTTATCTATATATGGTATACAGCACTTAATTCCTTACACTTCCACAAGACCTGCTTTCAAAAACACAAATTGCTTCAGTTTTCCAAATGAAAGCTCCTCCTAGCCTTCTTTTTAATTAAACTAGTCAGTTGCTATTTAAGGGGTTTCAGAATATCACAATCAATGGTCGCAATAGGAAACCTTCACAATGCTGAAGGTGTCTGTACTCTTAGGTAAAGAAGACTGATAGAGATCAGTCTGCACAGCCAAGGGAAGGACTACGACTCACAACCAAAAGACACATAATGTTCCAAGACAGGGAATCAGGCTATGGCCGAATGTTCATCTCCCCAGCTTTGTCAAAGTTTGAGATAACAAAATCAATATAAAGATTGCTTAATAGTTTAGAGAGGGCAGAGCTGACCACACTACAAATTATGGCTGCCTGGCTGGGTAGCTCAGTGATTTAAGTATCTGGCTACAGAACCAGAGGTTGAAAGTTCAGTTTACCACCGTGTCTCCCAGGAGTACAACCAGCCTGTGTGGCCTTGGGAGAGATGCACAGTCCCAGAGTGCTCCCAGAAAAATGGAGTGGTAAACCACTTCTGAGTACTCTGTGGTCACAGAGTGCCTGCAGAAGACGGGAATGGTAAACCACTTCTGAGTACTCTGCACCTAGAAAACCCTGTAAAGGGTCACAGTAAGTCAGATTTGACTCAACATGTCCAATTATTATTAAAGAAGGGTTTAGTTTAGCTTGCTCCTGAGGCAGTTATCTTAAGATTTTAGCAGAAGAGTACCAGTCAGCCATAATCACTCTGAGCTATCCATGGTCCTGTTGTAGCTATGTTTTACACAAGATTGCTGCTGCGCTTACTTAAATTACCTACCTTGCCTGATTTACTTTGACTGAAGTCAACCTACCTGATTCAACCTTGCCTCTCTAGACCTGACAATTATTCTGAAACTGAATCCTCCCTTGCTCAGATCTGACATTGTCAGATCCTACTGGCTTCTCCTTTAAGCCTCAGGGAACCAGAAAATGGACTAGGAAAAAAAAAATGAAGTCATATGGAATTATGTTCCCACAACCTCCACAGAGCTTTATCCATGAAAAGGAATTTTAATCCTTAAAACAGTGGGTTTTAAACATCACTCCTGGCCAACTGAGAAGAAATGTTGGCATAAAATTTCATTTATACTATAAAGTAATAATTAAGTAATAGGAATGTAAGTATTTTCCAGTTTTGGAAATAATATATTTCTGAGCTGATGTTTACTTTATTTCATCCCGGTGACAAACTTTACCAGGTTTTTCTTTGTTTTGTTTTGTTTTTTAAATTTTGCCAGGAAATAAAAGGGTGTTGAGCTGAGCTAAAGTTGTTACACTAAGTCAGCATATTTCAGACAATGAATGGTGTTTGCTGCTGCTGAAAATGAAGGCTAACGACAGCCTGAGAAAAGCAATTTGCTTCTTAGAAGAACACATGTAGAAGACTGTTAAAGCTATAGGAACCCAGCAATACAACAATATAAGCTTGAATTTTGCTATAAGAAGCTGATGCTCAGAGCCACAATCAGCTACAGGTCTTGTTTCTGCTGACTGTATAGAGCTTCTCCATCTTTGGCTGCGGAGAATATAATCAATCTGATTTTGGTATTGCCCATCTGGTGATATCCATGAGTAGAGTCGCCTCTTATGTTGTTGGAAAAGAGTGTTTGTGATGACCAACTTGTTCTCTTGACAAAATTCTGTTAGCCTTTGCCCTGCTTTGTTTTGAATTCAAAGGCCAAAATTACTGTAGTTCCTTTTATCTCTTGACTCTCTACTTTAGCATTCCAATCCCCTGTAATGAGAAGAACATCTTTCTTTGGTGTCAGTTCTAGAAGGTGTTGTAAGTCTTCATAGAATTGGTCAATTTCAGCCTCTTCAGCATCGGTGGTTGGTGCATAAACTTGGAAAACTGTGATGTTGAAAGCTCTGCCTTGGATTCATATTGAAATCATTCTATCATTTTTGAGACTGTATCCCATTACAGCTTTTCTCACTCTTTTGTTGACTATGAGGGCTACTCCACTCCTTCTACGGGATTCTTGCCCACAAGAATAGATATGATAATCGTCTGAATTGAATTCACCCATTCCTGTCCATGTTAGTTCACTGACACCCAGGATGTCAATGTTTATTCTTGCCATCTCCTGTTTGACCTCATCCAGCTTACCAAGGTTCATAGATCTTACATTCCAGGTTCCTATTCATTATTATTATTATTATTATTATTTGTATCATCGGACTTTGCCTTCACTTTCATTATTTATCAAACTGAAATAAAGAATTGAACTTCTTTCAAAATAAACCTGCACACACTTGCTCTTTAAAAGATGTAAAACATCTAGCATTGGAAAAACACTATCCCAATGGAAGCAAAACTAAGATGTGCTTCCATTGGAGATACTTTGGGCTTAAGGTATCAGATGATCTGTTAAGTTTTGGGCTTAAGGTATCAGATGATCTGTTAGAACAGTGGTTCCCAACCTTGGTAACTCAGGTGTTCTTAGATTTCAGTTCCCAGAAGCCTTCATCACCAGCTATGCTGGCCAGGGTTTCTAGAAGTTCCAGTCCAAGAACACCTGTGGTTACCCAAGGTTTGGAAGCACTGCATTAGAATTTAAGCGTACAAATACACAGATTAACAACAGCTCCCAAATTAGCTATAGGGGTTGAGGGAACAAGCACAGCTGGGATCTGGCTTGGAACAAAGGAAAACTCCCAGAAAGGAAATAGATTGCCCAACAGAGGACATGCCCTCTTCCTTGATTGAGATGAAGTGCATGTATCACAAAAAGAGAGGGTTGCACATGCATGAGCTCAGAAGTAATCATCTGCTTGTGAAGAGACAGGCATTTCCTATATCAGAAACAATCTTATTTTCCAAACTTCTCCTGTCATCTGTTATTCACTTCCATACACATAAACTCTGTGTGGGATGAGATCTGCTTGTTCCTTCAGTCTGTTAATTTCCATCAATTTTCTTTTTAAAAAAAAGATAAACGCCAAGTTTCACAATAATTCTACATTATAGCCAGAATTCTATTGGTTATAGAACTGGCAACAGGGCACAAAGGAAACAAAGAATGCAAGTGGTGACTCATTAATCAGGAGGAATTCACTGCTACTATTTATGTTTGTGGCACTTACACTGATGTAAGTAATCCAACAGGGTTCTGGATTTTTATATTCTGCACAATTTGTCCTTAATTTTTTAAAGAGAAACATGATCATAACCTCGCTCTTGGTTGGCTGTGATCTGCTTACTCATGTCATCCACTTTTTGA